TTTAGAAGTATGTTGTTTAACTTCCAAGTGTTTGGGGATTTTCCTGTTGTCTTTCTGTTCTTGATTTCTAGTTTGGTTCTGTGTTCTGACAATGAGACAAGGATGGACCTATATATTGCTACCCCACCCACATTATCTACTTCTTCACAGCAGGCTAAGACCCATTAGCTCAAAAACCTGCCAGAGCCACAGTAAGTTTCATACACACCCAATTGTTTTAAACATAACCAAAAATAGCAGATTTTTAGCTATTTAGAGCCAGCCTGCTTTGCATACTCCATGAAACTGTGCCCAGAATATGTCAGTTGTAGTTAAGATAAACCTTGAGGGTATAAAGACCCCAGGCCTCTGATGTCCCCTGGAGTTCTCTAACCCCAGAGACTCCCTTCAAGGTGGCTGAGAAAAATAACCAGGCATGCACAGCCTCATTTATTCTTCCTACTAAGTGGGAGAGGGTCTCAGCTGACTATGCAGCCCACTGATACTATGGTGGTGGGAGAATCAGAGCTTTCATCGGGCAGGGGATGACAGATCAGCTCCCAGCTGAGCCCTGACAGCACTATCCCAGCTGGGCAATCAGAGCACTGCCTTGTTCTGTGGGTGGAGGTGGAAGACAGGCTGCCTGCTTTCCCCCACCTAATGGGAAAATCAGAGTGTATCACCTGCTCCCCAGGGGTGGCAGTAGGGGTATGAGATAGAAGACCAACTTCCTGCTTGTACCCACTGATACCATGTATGGGGAGAAAAGCACGGCTTTTCCATTGGTGTTTGGCTGGAGTAGGGTGTGTATTGTCAAAACAAATTTGCTGCTGGCCCCACTTCTGGGTCTCTTGACTAGAAGGAACAGGCTTTCATTGGCGCTTTTTTGTCTGTGCCTATTGGAAACTTCTGGTTGGAGGCTTCTGCAGCATCCTCTTTGGAATATATGGGAGTCAATACGGAAACCAAGTCTTCCTCAAGCCCTGAGATCCCCAGGCAACTCAACTTTTTCTTTCCAAGTTTCAGAGACTTCCTATGCTTGTTTGTTGTGTTGTATGTACATTCTTTCCCTGTTAGGGAGGCACCTGGGAGGAATAGGGCTATTCCACCTTGGCAGAACTGAAGTCTCTTCATTTTCACATAAAACTTCTGAGGATTTGTAGGTTTCTTAGCACTGCTATTTAATTGCTCAATGCTCTTATAGTAATAATTTTTTACTTTAAACCAGGGGTCCTCAAACTTTTTAAACAGGGGGCCAGTTCACTGTCCCTCAGACCGTTGGAGGGCCCGACTATAGTTTAAAAAACACACAACTATGAACAAATTCCTATGCACACTGCACATATCTTATTTTGAAGTAAAAACAAAACAAAACGGGAACAAATACAATATTTGTATTTGCATGTGGCCCACGGGCCATAGTTTGAGGAACCCTGCTTTAAACAGTAGTAATATCAGATTAATGATTTGTAAGACAAATTGGGATGTCTTTACCTTAGGAATTACAGGGAGATCTCATCTTGCTTCCTATTCTGTTGATATGTATGAAGGCTGTCCTTCCTTCTCTTTCATTAACCACTGTGCCTCTCCCTAATGCCATGATAAATACCTCTTTCCCTAATCTCTCATTTATCTTTCCTTCCTCTGCATATTTTAAAATGGTGAACTTTTGAATACCATTTATATAAATATTGTGTGTGTATGTGTTTGTGACTGTTTCTAACAAAGAAATATACCCATTATTTGCAGGGTTTTTGCTGAGTTGAATACCCTCCTCCCTACCTAGACCTTAACACCCACAATCGAGATCCATGGGGAGTCGTGGAATGCAATTCCCCACATTCATACGTGGCCTTAAGCCTTGGCTGCAGAAGATCTTAGAGGGACTGAGGGATGTAGTATATCTGGGAGTAGGAAAATATATTTAGAGTATACTTGTGAGCATTTGCCTAACATTACCAATACCTTTAGGGGGTAGTCCCAGGGCACTTGGCAGACAAACTATTAGTGGCAACAGCAATAAGCCAAAACCCACATGGCAAACAGACAAAATACAACATCTGTCAGATGACTACTTTATACCATTGTGCCAGGTGCAAGAAGATAGATGAGTGACATAAATATCTTGCCCCAAATTTATTAAGGCTGTGGTCACATAGTCACGTACAAATGATGGAATAGTGCTCTCTGTGACAAACACCAGAGGTGCCATAGTTAATATGGAGTCAGGCCCAATCTCTAGCCAGATCATCTTTACCTGTCAGTGCTACTTTGCCTATGCCGACTGTACTTTTTAAATTTATCGCTTTTAGAACAATTATGTTGCTATAATATAATGGTTTCTTCCAAGTAAGTCTTTTCCTCTACCTGGCTATAAGGTCTTTGAAATCGAGAGCTATATTCTTTTCATTTTTGTATCCACCGTATTTTGCACATAGTAGGTACTCATTAAAAATGTGTTTGTTGAGTTCTTAGGTTCCACACACTGTTCCAGATGCTGGGAAAACAAGATACAGAATTCCCAGCTCTCATAATGCTTACATTCTGGTGAAGAAGACAACTGTGACTAAAGACCTTGTACAATGGCACTTACGAGATAATTTGTACTTGCCTAGGAGTCTCTAAGTGAGTCCTTTGGAGACCCTTGGGACTGCATATTTCTGATAAAATTTAACTTTGTCAAAATATTTTGAGTTGGAGTAGACATAAAATTTCTATTTCTCTAGTCTACTGATCCTACCACAATAGGATTGTTTGAAGGCCACTATTATGAGGGTTCAATTCAATTTAACCAACACAATACAATCTGCATGTGCAAGACACTAGAAAATATTTTTATATATTATCTCACTGGGTCATCATTTTGGTTAAAAGGCCTTTCATTACCCATATCTATCCTCCCTGTCTTGCCCCAGGTCCCTGCATTCTTAACAGGATGCTCCAAGGCACTCTATGCCTTCATCTAGTGTGGCTGCATCATAATACCTCGTTTGCTTTTCTGTCAGCCACATTCACTAATGGAGCTTTAGTTACTCAAGATCAGGTGGCAGGAGAAGGTGGTTGATCAAACTCCAATTCCTTTACTGTGTGACATGGTACAATTATCTAACCTCACTGAACCTCAGTTTCCACATCTGCAAATGTAAAGAATAACAATGCCTATTTTGTTGTGAGGATTAAAAAAATAATGCTCATAAAAGCTTAATATGTGCTCATCTATAGTATACTAGAGGCCCGGTACACAAACATTTGTGCACTCAACCCAGCCTGTGCCCTCTCCCACTCTGGGACTCCTCGGGGGATGTCCACCTGCTGGCTTAGGCCCGCTCCCCGGGGGATCGGGCCTAAGCTGGCGGTCAGACATCCCTCTGGCAGCCCGGGAGCCCTCGGAGGATGTCCACTTGCCAGTGGGGAGTAGGCCTAAGCAGCAGTCGGACATCCTTAGTGCTGCTGAGGAGGCAGGAGAGGCTCCTGCCACCACCGCTGTGCTGGCAGCCGTCAGCCTGGCTTGTGGCTGAGCAGAGCTCCCCCTGTGGGAGCGCACTGACCACCAGGGGGCAGCTCCTGCATTGAGCGTCTGCCCCCTGGTGGTCAGTGTGTGTCATAGTGACCAGTCATTCCCAGTCATTCTGCTGTTAGGGTCAATTTGCATATTACCCTTTTATTATATAGGATTATCATTAACTATTAACTAGCACAGTGCCTGCTATATCATAGATATTCAAAGAATTAATCCCCACTTAACTTCCAGTGAATAGGGGAGAGAATGGTGCCACAATCTAGCCTTCTGACTTAAAATCTTGTACTACTGCTGCAACATGATGCCTTGTAGATATGCCATTTCCCCCCTAAATCATGCGTGTTATAGGTGATATGGCCCTAGACTATCTCTGCCGCCCCCCCTCCCCTCCACACACACACTATATAAAAGTTTAGGGCAGTAATCTTATGGAATTTTGTCTGTTTTTAGGTGCTTGAATCAGTCTGGAAGAAGTAGTCTAAATACCAAAACATTAAAATTTTCAGGACATTTTAATGGGTTATTGGGACAACTGAATTGAATATTAGTATCAGTAATGTATTAAAAATTTGGGATTGCTGTCCTTAAAGGGACTAATCCCTGTGCATGGAGTCCAAGACATTCTTATATTAAATTCTACTCTACAAAAGAGTATTCACATGGGGTTCCAATGTCTGGAATTGAGGCAGTCATTAAAAATTGCAAGGAAAAGCACTGATGCTTCCTCAGGGTCTCGGAATCTTCTTCCCCGAGTAAGCATGGTCCTTCTCTATTGAGTGCAAAATGTGAAGCCAAGAAAGCTTTCTTTCTCTTCTCACCTTTCATCTCAGTATCTCTTAAAATATATATATATATATATATTAATTGATTTCAGAGAGGAAAGGAGAGGGAGAGATAGAAACAGCAATGAGGAGAGAGAATCACCCAGCGGCTGCCTCCTGCACACCCCCACTTGGGACTGAGCCTGGGTGGGACTGAGCCCCGCAACCTGAATTGAACCGTGACCTCCTGGCTCACAGGCCTACACTCAACTACTGAGCCGTGCCGGCTGGGCTCAGTATTTCTTTCTTGCCTGATCGTCATCCCAAGCCACACAAGCCCTGCTGTATCTCTGAAATACTTACTGCTGGTAGCCTGCATGTAGACAGTTGAATCTTGAACAATTAACCAGTTAATTGCCACGATATTTGAATTTAATTTAAAAAGGTCTGCCACTTGCATCTATAGACACTTATGGCATATAAACAGTTAAAAATTTTCAAAGAAAGGAATCCAATATCATTAATTTCAGGTATTGATGGGCAATTGGGATAAGAAGAATGGCTTCTTTAAAATTGTTCATATCACAATAGATGGGCAGAGGTAGTCCATGCTCTCCTGGTAATATTGTGAGTTGCTTATTAAGCCATATCTATTTTGGCAGAGGCAGAAGTAAACAATTCAACACTGTAGTGTGCTAAAGTTAATGCTATATATATATACATATTGCTTTATAATAAATCAACACATTTATATTAAATAAAATAGATGCATGATAAAATTTTAATTCAAAACAATATAAAATGTTAACAATTGTTTTTAGGATATGTTGTCTACTTACTGTTTTTCCTTTTTTATTTGTATTTAGCCATCCACAGTTCTTATCTTGCATTAACTCATCTGAAAAAATTTTAAAATAATTATATAAGTAAGTTGGCACTTACTGCATTTGACCAGCATGTTCTACACCTGCATCTAACTAATAATTGTGTAGCATAGCTATTAAGAGCGCAAGCTCTGGAGCCAGACTGCTTGCTCTCAAATAGTCTCTGTAACTAACGGACCATCTAACTTTGGACATCTTATCTGGACTCTCTCTGAGTTTCCTCATTTGTCAAACAATGAAGATCCTCCTTCATAGGGTTGTTGTGTGATTTAAGGAGCTGAAGCATGTCACACTGTGTGTGGAACACAATAAACATGCAATGAATGCAAATGTTGTTGTTATTGTTACCATGATTACTACTCCTTTTAATCTCTGTCACTAATAAATCCAATTACTATTTCAATAGTACTGTTAAAATGCATACAAGTGATTACAATTAAATGTCATCATGCTTTGTACTTTTATGTACAGAAAAGACTGTCTCTTAGTCAGATTATAGTCAATGTTTGTATTGTGTACTTCTATTTTCTGGCATTTAATGCCATTTCAAAAAATAAAGTAAAAAAACACACAAAAACTCATCATGCACTCCAGGTGGTTCGGAATGTTTTTGTGGTTGTTAAAAGTGAAGCACATTGTTTCCTTAAACCCCAACATGGCACAGGGGGAAACCTCCAGAACTCTGATCCAACACTAGGTTTGATTTGGTTGTTACATGCTCATGCTGTACTAGGTGTTAAATATTCTCATTACCACCTTTGGGCTTACTGATATGTTGCATATGTTTTCATAATGATATCACGAAACAACTCTTTGAATCAGAAAAACCTCTTCACTAATAGATCTACAGGATAGCCAACATGTTTGTAAACAAAGATAAACATAATAAGTGGTTTACTAAATGGTGATGAAAAAAATTAAAAATAAATAGGCTACTAATATTATAATATATAAAAATAAACATTAGCTAGGATTTTAAGGTCACTTGTATGTTGCTTTATTTTCCACTAATATTATAATTCCATAGATTTTTCATGCCAGTTATCACAAAATATAGTAGTGTGATTTACATTTTGAAAGAAAGTTTTGATAACCATTGTTTTATATGAATTCATGTTTTCAATTTCACTGAATATTTGAAAATTATAAGAATACATATACAAATAGTAACATACGTATAAAACCAGGGAGCTTTACATATTCATCCAGCATACTAAATGAACCATATGAACTCTGAAATAAAAACAGACCAGAAAAAGTTAATAGAAACAATTGAATATCAATATAAAATTTAAACTTAGTATTATTGATGGCTATAAATAACTAGAGACCTGGTGTACAGATTCATGCACCAGTGGGGTCCCTTGGCCTGGCCTGTGGGGATGAGGCTGGAACCGGCAGTCCAACATCCCCCGAGGGATGTAGTAATGCGCGAAGCAAGCAGCAGCCAGGGAGGAGCCCAAGCCCGGACTGGGCGCCATGGTGCTCCTGCTCATCCTGGCCCTGCTGTGCCTGCTGCTACCGCTTGGTAGGCTCACGGCCACTCCGCTGCAGTTCTCCGCACACCTGTCCTAGGGCAATACTGGTGCGCCCATGACTGAGAAGCAGCCGCAGGCTTGCTCCCAGTCAGTCCCGATGCCAGTCTCGGTCCCAATCGGGGAGTGGCGCACAGGGGGAGTGTCTGTGGGAGAGGCTCATGCTGCTGCAGCTGTGCTTGCTAGCAGTGAGCCCTGCGGCATTGGGGGCCCATTGGTCAGCTGAGTGGCACTCCTGCTGAGGGAGCACACAGACCACTGGGGGCAGCTCCTGCATTGAGTGTCTGCCCCCTGGTGGTCAGTGTGCATCATAGCAACTTATCAAACAGTCGCTTAGGCTTTTATATATATAGATAATAAAATGAGGTCCAATGTTACATTTGGCTTTATCTCACATAAAGAAAAGAATTCCTTTTATAATTCACTAGTGCAACTGCAGGTGGTGACATAACTTACATGGCTGAAACATTGTATTAGTAGGTTTGGAGGTAGGGAATGGCAAGCATTAAAAGCCCCACAAATCATGTGATATTACTTTGTACATCATTGACCCTCTCTTGTTCTCTCTAAGCTCTGGAGGTGGGGACTAATAACTTAAAAAATAAAGTAAAAAAGAGAATAATATCAAAGAAAACATATATCAAAAGAGAAGGGAGAAGTGACATTATATAAAATGGTGGAATACAGTGCTCAAAGAATTGGTTTCTCTATTGAAACAAGTATAAATAGTCAAAGACTGACAGATCAATTATTTCAAATTCCAGAATCTAATTCTGGTTGCAAAACTTACAGCAACCAGAGGGCGGGTTAATTTTAAAAGGATAGCTAAATTATGGTGTTTTAAGAAATCTACTAGGTCATTACCTGGCTACTGAGATAATGGAACAGAGACTTCATGGAAATGACATGGAATACAGTCTTTGCAAAAATAATTTGAATAAGTCACAAAAGAAATAGGTAACTGCAGCCCTAAAAAATCAACAATAATATCCCATAATGTGGAGGAGAATAATCTAAGTTATAGAGTTACATTATAATACTTTAAATGCCCAATTTCCATGAAAAATTATAAGGCATACAAATAAACAGGAAATATGGCCCATTCACAGAAAAAGAAAAAAAAAAGGATAGAAACAACCCCTGAGAAAATCCAGGCATTGGACTAAACAGACAAAGATTTTTAAAAAACTTTCGTAAATATACTCAAAGAGCTAAAAAGAATCACAAAGAACTAAACAATATACACAATATATATAGTATGTATATATATATATATATATATATATATATATATATATATATATACACACACACTAAGTGTCCTTCCCTCCGTCCGGGTGATGACATCACATAGCAATGCCTGGCTTCCTCTCCCTAGCCATGACTAGCCTCCTTGCAGTTTCTTCAGCCCAGAAATACATTAGCCAGGTGGAAACAGTTTACACTGTAACCAAATGTCTGTGAAGTGTTTTCCTGTGCATCATCTCATTTGATCCTCACAGAAGTCCTGGAGTAGGTAGATAGGAGACTCAGTGGAATCCTATTTTATTTTCATTATCCGGAAAACAGAGATTTAGCAAGTTTAGAAACTTAACCCGACTGAAAAGAAGTAAGAAATGGTGGACCTTGAAAATGATTTCAGGTTTTTTCACTGTGCAGAATATAGTCAAACACTGCTGCAGTTAAATATTTTACCCTTTGTTCTCCCTGCATGATCTACAATAATAATCTGCTTTGTGTTGATATTTACTGGTGTGTTGCTGACAATTACCTGAAAGAGAAGTTGGGGTGCTTCACTGGGCTGGAAAAAGGTTAGCTAAATCCGAAAGCAGGTCTAATTAAGCAAGTTTGTTCTATATCTATAAAAGGCTAAGTTGACTCGTGCATGTGCGATACACACATAAAGCTCTTGCTGGTGCCAATTGCACGCCTGTGTTTCGATCTGTCATTGTCAATCGCAAATTTGGTTGACACTTCTATTATAGAGAAAGGGCAAATAGCAATATTAAAATACTTCTTCTAATTAATTTCCTTTCAATGTGCACTAATTCATGCACCGGGCCACTAGTTTAAAATAAAGAGATAGAAATTTTGAAAAGGAACCAAATAGAAATTCTGGATCAGGAAGTATAACTGGAATGAGAAAATTATTCAGGGAGTTTGAGAGCACATGGAAGCAGACAGAAGGCAGAATCAGTGAATTAAAGATAGGAGATCAAAATTATATATTAAAAAAAAGATTCAAGAAAAATGAACAGAGTCTAAAGAACCTTGGGGACAACCATCAATATACACATTATGGGAGTCACAGAAAAGAGAGGAAAGAATATTTGAAGAAATAATGGCCAAACACTTCCTAAATTTAATGATAGGCATGAATCTACATCCAAAAATCTTGACAAACTCCAAGAAGGATAAACTCAAAGAGATATATACCAAGACATACTATAATCAAACTACCAAAATACAAAGAGAGAACTTGAAAGCAGCAAGAAAGAAGTGACTCATCATATACAAAAGTTCTTCAATAAGATTAACAGGCATTTTCCATCAGATACCAGGTAAGCAGACAGTGGAGCAACTGATTTTCTTCAGGAGGCAGAGGGAGGAATATGGTTTCCCTAATTGCCACATTGTAAAGCTGAGATTCTAGGGCCAGGCTGTGTTCTTGAATATATCATTTCCATTTGGAAAACTTATTGGACCCTTTCCACTTTGATAATTGCTGAGCCAAACTTGATCCATCCCAAAATGGAAACAACAAGCCAAAGAGTCACAAGGCCTTTACAGGTAAGGTGTTCATGAAGTTCAGTAGCTCTTGGTACTAGGTACTCAAGGTAATAACTGCTTTCCAAAAGGGGGATACCTGTGAGTTGTGTTCGAGAACAAGTCCAAAACCCCAAGAAGGGTTTTCAGGCAGGGTTTCCAATCAGCACAAAGATCTGTAGCTCACAAGAATTCTTAGGGTTGCTGGACCCCAAAGATAGTGCATCACAGCTTGCTGAACAGCTTTTAACTCAGCTTGTTGGTTTGGGCTCCACTAAAAGGATGCTGATTTATAGGTTAGCCAATACAAAGGACCAGTAGAATGCCCAAGTGAGGCACTTACTATCTTCCATACTCAGAGTCCAACAAGGTTCTGGGCATCCTCTTATGGAGTTGATGGAAGGGGGTGGGACAAAGAGGCAAGTTTTTCTTTTACTGCCAGAAGGACTAAACGTTACAAATCTGCCCAGATAATCCCAATAAATTTTACCTGGTAAGTAGACCCATGAATTTTATCATGATTTATTAGCCACTCTGCTGGTGGAGATGTGATAATACCATATTCAAGGATTTGAGACTAAGATTTTTGATTTGCTGACCAGTAGGACATGATCTATATAGTGAAAGCTATGGATATCAGAGGGACATCATCTTTTTTTTTTAAATATATTTTATTGATTTTTTGCAGAGAGGAAGGGAGAGAAGTAGAGAGTTAGAAACATCGATGAGAGAGAAACATCGATCAGCTGCCTCCTGCACATCTCCCACGGGATGTGCCCGCAACCAAGGTACATGCCCCTGACCGGAATCGAACCCGGGACCCTTCAGTCCGCAGGCCGACGCTCTATCCACTGAGCCAAACCGGTTTCGGCGAGGGACATCATCTTAAATGCTGACCCATTCACTACTGACAAATGGCAGGTGAGTAGGTACACCAAGAGGAATACTAAAAATATATGGAAACTCATCTTGATCCTCGGGTATCTGTGGCATAGCACAGGTGGTGACGGCAATGTCCAAGAGAACATACCAAGTGACATCATTCTGTATAATGGATTCACTTATAGTCACAATATCTGGAACAGCTTGGATATGGAAGCAACAACTGGATTCTATTGGTGATAATCTACTGTAAGTCTCCAACTCCATTAGCAAATTTCACTGGGTTGCTGAACTGATATAATGCATCTCTTACTTTCCCTGTAGCCTGTAAGTCCTTAATGAAGGCTGCTATTGCCCTTTGTTCTCCTAGGATTAATGTTTGTTAGACCACCTGGGAGGGCACAGGGAGACAAGTTGGGTAGTGACTTACATTTCCCACCAGTATTTCTCTACATGTGGCTCTTCTGATTGCTCTGGCACTTATGGAATGAAGATGAACAAGTATGTAACACAGTAATTGCTACTACACATCCAGATATAGAAACAGCAGTATATTCAATTGACCTACAGAGCTCCATCCAGAATGTTACGTTAGTTCCCTTCCCCATTGTGAACCTTGCCAAACCCCATAAGCAGATTCTAAGTGCCTTTGCTTTCCACAGGTGCACATAAGACAGAGACTTGTGCACCCATATCCAATAGAGCTATAAAAGATCGTGGCCCTACCCTCTCTGAAATTCCTCAGCAAACTTGAATGGCTGTATAGAGCCTTCTATCTCCTTCAGGGACAAGGAGACCTTGGCTCCATCTCCAATCATGTGTCTCCTTAAGCAGCTGGGATTGGGTTAAGGTGGAAGGGAGGTGACATGGGGTGCAGAAGGAGGAAGCAACTCCATGCCACTTCACAGTGCTTCACATTTACTTTCAGTTTTGAGTGGTGTAGCAACTCATGACTCAATCCAACGAACTGTTGCTGTTGGTCTTTCCAACACTCTATGTCAGGCAGCCAGGTCTTCATAGCTGACAACTTTTACTTCATCTTTGGGAATG